ACCTGCTCTGTCTGGATGAGGACATAAGTGGCACATGGGGCCTGTTCCAGCTGGTCTAGGGCAGATGTCACATGTGTAGGTCCCAGAGCGGGCACTGTGTGCAGTGCAGTTTCAGACCAGCCATAGTGGGTGCCAGATCTGGTATGCAAGGGACGCACAGAGCCCTCCCCCTTGCATGATGGATTCAGAGCCCACTCTGGTTGGTCTGGGACTGTGCCACATGTGGTGCATGATCTGGCCAGATCGGGATGCAAGTGGGATGCAGCACCCACTCCAGCCAGTCTGGGGAAGACACCATAGGCAGCAAAGGTCCCAGAGTGATCACTGCAGTCAGACTGGCTACAGTGGAAGCTGCAGGCACTGGATCTAGCATGTGCAGAGGAATGGGTGTGGGAAGGGTGTCTATGGGCCTGATCCAGCCCATGGGGCTAGCCCTGCACTGTACATCTGACCCATGAACCAGCACTCTGCCATTCATCTACCCCATGGGACCAGATGAGTTTGACACCCCTGATTTAGAGAGAGCTCACAGCTGAAGTCTATCCCTGAAGAGACACAAACAGGCTGCACTGAACCCAAAGATCTGTCATATTTTCTCTTAAAGTAGATTTTTTTAAAACTGTATAGCTTGTTATGACTGCTTACCAGTTGCTTGGACTGTGGGTGGACGCTCATGGCAGGCCTTCCAAACTAAAGATGAGACAGGCTCTTTATGTTGTACTTATTTTCAGAGAGTTATTGCAGAATGTTGCTTTGATTATAATAGAGATTTACATCTCTAAGAACAACAAAAAATTGCTTGGCAACAACAGAGAGACTGCATTTCAAATTGGGACAGGAATTGGTCAATTTTAAACACAAGAGAAATATTCCTGTAATACACACTGTTCTTTTTAAAGTAGTTTATAAGACAATGTTATTACAATTAGCCTTGTGCTGATGGTTCTCAGGAAGTCCTTTTAAAATATAAATCACATGTTATCATCCCCTTCAAAAATGAAGTGAATGAAAGTTAACAAAAGAAAAGATTAAAAGATTTACTTTTAATACTAATCTATATAAAACAAAGCCAGGGAGCCCTATGGGCTGTTGCTTTGCTCACTAGATCTGGAGCACAGGGTGGCACAGGGCCTGATCCCAGTGCACAGAGGGCCCAGATCCTGATCTGGGCACATGGGATCAGGTGGGGGCAATGTGGGATGTGGCAGAGGCAGCACGGAGCTTGATGATGCCATGTAAGATCACAAGGGGTGGGGCAAGGCCCTATGGCCTTGATACCAGGACATGGGGCTGGGCAGAGGCAGCATGGGGCCCTGATCCTAGCATAAAGAGGAAGACTGGGATCCAATCTCAGGGCACGGGGGGACAAGCCAAGGCCACATGGGCTCAATCCTGGCACACGAGGTTTGATCCGACCCTTGAACTGGCTCTGTGTCATTCATCTGCACCGTGGAGCGGAAAGGTTGAGCGCTGCCGGTCAAAGACGAAGACTACAGATTAATCCGTTACCTGGATTAGTTTTTATAACGCCCACCCCCCCCAATCACTCATTGGGTTAACTACTTTGTTTTCTCTCTCCTACCACCTTGCCTCTCCCATGAGTGCCCTTCCTTTTTCCTCCCTCTTCCCTAGGCTCTGTATTCTAATCACTGCTTTCTATTTAGAAGCTCAGCTTTCTTCAGTCCCCTCACAGTATTTGATGAAGTAAACTGCTGCTTACAAAATCTTATGCACTTCTGATGTACTTAGTCTGTAAGGTGCAAATCTACCCTGCCTTCTATAGAAGAGTCAGGATTAAAGACAGAAATGACATGACAGGCACAAGGGTGCATATTTAAGTTCCTGCCAGAAAAAATGCAACAGCAGACTGCTTCTAACAACGAAACTGTGGTCTCAGATGAAGCTCTTCACCTAAGGGAAAGGATAACTATAGCTACTCTGGCATTGAGCCCTAGTTACATGCAATGAGACAACTGTTTGGAGAGCTCCAATGTTTGACACCTGCCAACTTTTCAAAATGAAAATGCGAAGGATCAAGAGCATTCAAAAAGCACTGGGTATTAGGCAAGAATCTTGTAACTCCTTCCCAATCTGAAAGTGTGGCCACTTTAATTTTTTTTTTAATTTCCACTAGCTTATCCACAGAAAGTTTCATTCTATGCAAACAGTTCTTTAAATGAAATATTGTCTTTTCTATTTCCCCCCTTCTATTTTTCACTTTTCCTTAGTAACAGAACTACATCTTTGCATCAGAATATTTCAGCCAGATTCTTGTATAGTTTTTCACTTTGTTAAGGTCCCTGGGAATTTTACTCCCTACTAACTTGTCTCTTCAGTCAATTATGTTTCCTAATTTTGAATTCTGAATTGATTTTTCTGCTATTTGACTCTCTCATGCAGCACTATTCGCTGCCATTGGAAAGGCACTGCTGGAATTCAGCCACTTGGCAACACAGAATAAATTGCAGGATGACCCTTTATCCCTTGTTTTGGCATCAACCATTTATCTCTCTCATCAAATCTATGCACCTGCTACATTTCTGGTTGGAAATCTTGACTAAATCCACCTCTAGGCCCTGCTCAATTTCTGAAGGCCAATCCAAAAATCTGTTAAAGTCCATGGAGAGTTGTCGTCCACCCCCCTCAGATTTTAATAGGCACTGTTCAGGTCATTGCTGTGGGTGATGGAGTGAACAGGACCATGTCTCAGCTGACAGCATTTTTTGGAAATACTGAGCCTGAGCCTCCTCTTGCTGACATCACTGTAAATCAAAGGTAACTTCAGTGAAACCAAGACTTATACTGATGTGAAACCAGAGTGAAAGGACAATCAAGCCCATCAAATTTAAAATAAAGACAAGATAATGCTTGGAAGCTATACACAGAAATGAAGTTATAGCATTAAATTAATGTGCCATGTCATTTCCAGTTAAAATTGTTTCGTGCTTTTTTCATTTCTGAATAATAACACCTAGAAAATTAAAATTTCAACCTTTCGCTCTTCCCTTTTCTAATTCAAACCAATTAAACTAAGAGAGAGTTGCAAGAAAGAGTGAATTATAATAAAGCTGTGATAAATTCTCAGCAAAATTATTTTGATACTTTGCCCATTTCTGTTTCTCTTCAACATAAGAAATTCCTTGTCACTTTAGCCTAGAAACAAGAGTCATTTTTATGTGGTTTTCAGATGTGGACAAGCAATGAATGATTGTAAACCACCATGTGAAGGTAAAAAAAATGCTTGAATATTTAATCTATTTAACCTTATAGGACAGCCAGAACAATGCCAAAATCCACACTCAATTTTGTTGAAGTAATTCTTTTTTTATGAAATGACAAAAATGCACAAATGCTTGTAAGTGATTCTACACCACACCTCAACCCCTTTGTATAGGGTGCTTTCAAGTATACGCATGTCAATTGGAACTGCCTATGGTGCCATTTGTTTAAAAACATCAGTAATAACGTAGAAAGCTATAAACATATTAACACAGATTCTAGCACTCTCAAAGTACATGTGTAACTTGTTAGTGTAAATAGAAGATACAATATGCGTCTTGAGGGAAGAATAGAAATCCTTTATGAAGTTACTGACAGAAAGTGATTACATTTGATCTACTCTGCTTTAAGAATAAACATACTTAGGTTTAATTTTAATTTGTGTAAATTATCAGAGGTCTATAGACCCATGGTCAATGGATGTTTAGAAGTTCAGCTTCAGCAAGCATCTGTCTTGTTTCTGTTTAATTCAAGATATTATGAAAGGAATTTGTAATGAGAGAGCAATTTTACATTGAGACAGAAGTTGATTGCAGCACTAACCACACACGTTAACAGTAACAAATGATGCTTGAGTAAGAAAAACAGATCTCATAGAGATGCCTGAAACATAGCCTAGTTTTTAAGAATTACCTTCAGTTTTTAAATGCATGAACCCAGCCACAGGTTAGAGTAAAAAGGCTTGCAAAAACCTTTGTATGACCCAAGGAAAGGAAATATTTGCTATGAAATAATCTTAGAAATAGTGGATTGCAGTTATTTTGAGCAAAGGTTATATACACTTTTCTATTGCACAGCCTGAATAACTATTGTACCTAAGCAAATTATAAATGACTGTTTAACCACTGCCATAAATGAGTTACTAACAAAAAGGCATATAGAAGACACAAAGCGATTTTGTTTCACAATGGCAAACACTGTGAGGTTTATTTGCTGTATTTTCATATCCTCAAGCAGTTTTTAACACTTGTCACCACAGGTCAGATTCCTGCCACAAGGGATCATACTAAAACAAATCATGGCCAGTTTTGTTTTTTCCTAACATATCTATCAAATTTTGAAAACTAAATACGAGTTGAAGGCGTTTTTCAACTGCACAAATCTGTCTGAAGCTATTTAAGTGGCCTATGTTACCCAGGTTTGAAAGTTTGAAATGGAACATCTTTTCTGTCTAACCTAATATTTCTTGAAAAATCACATCCATAGTTTGATGTGGAAAAGGTCTATCGCTTCAATCAGAGACGCTGGCTGAAAACATCAGAATAGTTAAATACCATTAAAGATGAAATCTTGACAAGAGAAAAGTATTTCTGGGAAGTAACTCAGTCCATGTTATTGTTTTAACAAAAGCAGAGGATTATACTGATTAGATGTTCATTCCTGAAAATATATCCCCTGAGAAATTCCAACTTATTGAAGTGGTTGGGTTGATTTTATTGAACTTCTTTGGAATACTAGAATTATTTGCATGAGTAAAGACCTCAAGATGAACCCATCATTTTGTACACCCAATTTTCTCCTGAGAGACTGGCTGTTTGGTGTGATCTTTGTCTCAGTTTTATTGGCAACATTTCCTTTAAAATGTTTACAATTGTGGTTGCCATTTGTAAACTAAATAAAATTAATCAGTGATATTCCTGGAAACAAGTAGAAAGGCTTCCAAAAAGTCAAAAGTTAGGAGGCCCATATTTACTCATGGCTGCATGGATACATTAACTTACCTTTGGACCAGGCAACCCTGGCAAACCTGGATTACCATGTGGACCTGGAACGCCCTAGAAAAAAAATGAAAGTATAAAATTATTCAGAATTAGGTCTAGCAATGTTTGGTACTTGTGGAAACACTGTCCAGACAATCACCCTGAAAAAATCATTGTCACTTGTATGATTTCAGACTGAGATTTTCAAAGGAGTTTAAAGGTATAGGATGCCCAGTCCTCACTGGAATTAAATGGGAATTGAGCACCTAACTTCTGTAGGCTCAATCAAAGATCTCAGTTTCATTGTGTTCCCAGATAATTTTAAATAAGCTCATGGTAGGTTTTTCAGCTATAGCATAATATATGAAGTCTGGAAATAATATACATCTTAAACATCACGTTTTTGATGTACGTATATGTACAATAGAGAAAGCTGGTGTTAAAAGGAATAGGAACAATTTCTTCTCCAGCCAACAGTCCAGAACCTTGACCATTCTGATAGACAAAGTTGACTTTTTATGCTCGCCATTCACTGACTTCAACTAAAGCACAACATATTTCAGCACTGCCCGGCAGGCATGGTGCTGAGCATGCCAGCCTCTCCCATTCCCACTCATGCTTGCCAAACCTGGAAATGTAGCTGTGAATGGGACTTTGGGATGCTTCTTCAACAGTCACTTCCACATGTTCTAGATACTGCAGTCTCAAGAGTGGCCAGAATGAATGTAAGGGTTGACTGGGTCAGGGGTGCTGAACCTCCAGCCCATGGGCCAAATATGGCCTGCTGAGCCTTGGAGACTGGCCTGCGGGGCTCCGCATGGTTAGAAAATTTGGTAGTGGGGAAGCAGTGGGCAGGTCATACTGCTATTCCTTCCCACTGCCAAAGTCCCAAGCCACAAGCAGCAGGTCAGAGCTGAGTCATGACACTCCCTCTGCATGGCCATATCAGAGCCAGGCTACTGCCCTTTCCCTCTGCATGAATGGGTTGGGGACAGGCTGCATGCACTTCTCCCCATGGAGCTGGACCACTCTCCCTATCAGGGGCTGAGTCACTCCCCCTTCACTATACCCACATAGGTTGGGACTGGGCCACACCTCCTTCCCCCTTCCACTCTGCCCAGTTGGGGCCAGGCCATATTTCCTTCCTCCTGCAGGGCTGGGCCATGTTCAATTCCCCTGCACAGCTGGATTGGGCCAGCCTGCCCCCCCAACCCCACTCTGCACAGATGGATGGGGCCCCCAGGACCCACCCCAGGTGCTGGATTGGGTCCACTGGGAGGATGTAGACTGCAGAGGAACCAGGCACTGACCCTCCAGCCCACCAGCCAAAAAGAGTGAGCACCACTGAGTTAGGGCATAGGTGGTCTGGCTGAGTGGATGGGTTTACTATAGTGGAAGCTAAGGTCAAGAACAGGTATCAGTCCAGGTCCAGGATATCAAGCCAAGGGCTGCAATAAGGGTGTGTTTGAGGTAAGCAATCAAGCACTAGCACAAACACAAGAACCAGCACCTAACAACACTGGATTACACTACAGGTTTTAAAGCCTTTTCATCAAGGTCTTGTAGGTCCCGTTGGTTCATCAAAGGCACCTGGTTCCCCAATGGAAACCTCATGAAGAAAGCCCAGGCTGAGCTGGAATCTGGCCAGCTGTTTGTTAGATCTGTGACCTAGCCTTCTGCTTGTGGATAAGGATGATCTGGTTTTGAATCTCAGGGGTCCTGACAGGGAAGGTATGCCTGGAATGACTTCATAGATACTTTTTCATGTTTGGTGCACAAAAGTGGAAACAGGTAGATAGGGTGCAAACATGTGCTTCTGGCAACTGGAAGGATGCAGTGTAGACGGACCCTGAAAATTCCACACAAGGGACATATGGTATGCATGACTGAATGGGTCTAACTATGCTACAAAAGGAGGCTATTGCTGATAATGATTGTCAACAGCAGGACTCTACCTTCCTATAGGTAGAGACCTACCAAAAACTGTGATTTTCTTGGATTTCATGTAAAATGCATAATTCAGCATGGCCTGTGAAAGCAGACAACGTCCGTATAATCTGTGAAAAAGAAAACTTACTGAAAATAAAATGCTGGCTCCCCAGAGGAAATCCTCATGGCATTGCTACCCAGCTGTGCAGCCTGCTGGGGGGAGGGGGGACTACTGGCATACAGGGGAGCTGAGGATGGCTGCTGCCCCTACCCTTTACCACTGATTGACAGAGGGCTGCCTGTCCTGTGGCCCTATCCCTCTCTACCAATCAGCAATGAGGGGCTGGGCTACATGACAGATAGTCCTCATAACTAATCAGCAGTGAGGGATGGGGTCACTGGGACTCCTTGGCCAATCAGAGGCATGTGGGGAGCACTGCAGTCAGCCCCATGAAAACGGCAGCCAGCCCTGCAATTTCCCCACAAAATTGGCCAGCTACACCTTCTTGAGTTGGGTAGCACCCTATCTATAGGTGGTGCTGAAATGGGTTTACTCCTACTCCTACTCCTACTGCAGGAAGTTCAAAATGATTTTCAGCATCGCTACTGAAAATGGGAGACAATTAGTGGCTTGTGATATCTAAAATGTTTCCTGCAATGAAAGAAAATCAGGTCTCTGTGCCATCTATGCTAGAAATTAGACTGTTTTTCAACGCTGGGCCTCTGATCCTAACAGTGCTAGCATCTTCCTTGCAGATTTAGGCGTTGCAGAAAATGGTCAACACAATGGTTGTCAACAGCTATGCATTTCCCAAGCATGAAAGAACCTTACAGGAAAAACCCTCTTGTCACTTGAAGAAAAACTTCCTCTCATTTCAATGGGGCCAGTACTTCTCTTGTACAGTTTATAAAAATCTGGTTTAATGCTGTCATAACATAAATCACAAATTCTGTGAACTGTTAAGAGATACAATGTTTACTGTCCACATAAATTACTCATATGTAACAATTATACTGTGCATTAAAAACTCAAAGCTATGGCTGTAGTTGTATCAGAGGAAGCACAACAACAATCTGGAACAGAAGCAGTATGGCTAGCTCTGTTATATAAAATCCTGATGCTGAGAAGCAGTGCTGGGATGTCACCTAAGTAGCAGCTCCAACACAGAAGGATAAAACCCTAGGAAAGGGAAGACCCTAAGAAAGACATCAGGAAATGAAATCTGAGAAGTCTTGATTTGGGGAAGCTGTAACTCTTTACCTCCACCTGCTCTATGTAATCTATTTATAAACCTCATTCCTTTGTCTGATGATATCTTCCCAATCCTTTCCAACATTATGAGTCAGCACTTGGAAGCATAAACATGCAACATATTTATTCAGCAGCTAATATGGAAGATCAGCAGAACATGCAATATTTGTTTTCAACGTAATACCAAATGATGGCTTGTTCAAATGTTCATTTCAAAAGCACCAACCCAGGTAAACACGGCTTACCCAAAATGCCTCCTTTATGTCTTCTGATCCATCCTTTTAACTGCTGAATACTCCTGTCCTCAGCAACCTCGTCCCCCATCTCAGCTTATGCAGGTCACTTTATTGCAGTCATAAATGTTTTTTCACTGCACCAAGCCTTCAGGCGTGAAGCCTACACTTACTCCTGATCCCTTCCAGGGAAAATTCCTTCCTTCCCTTACCATCCACCATTCCCAGGCAAGTAGATACCTCAACAATTTTGTGTGTTAACTATGGTAAACATCACTTGAAGCAGCTATGAATGCAGGCTGTGTGTAAATGAAACTAGGGGCACGTGTTTAAAGTGGGTTAAATGCTTTTGCACCGCTTTAATGGTGTTGGTATTTGCACACATTGGCAGCATATTGAGCAGTAATTCCAGCTGCTATAAGAAATTTGGTGGCATAGCATGCCTTAAATGAGTTGGAGCATAGCAAACTAAAACTCCGAGGAGTTTTAGTTTTCTACCCTACAGCCGCGGAGTGAAGCACCGGGCTCTGTGCAGCTCAGGAACTCTGTAGGAAGCCCTGCAGGAAGCCTGGCAGCAGCCTGGGAAGGCAGGCTCTGCCTAAGAAAAGCAATGAGCCTGATCTTTTTTTTTCCCTAGGAGCCTGCCTGCCTGCTTGCCTGAGCTGAGCAGGGGCCCAGTGCTTCCTTCCACGGCTGAAGTGCTCCCCAGGACCGCACGAGCCAGGTGCCTGTGGGTAGGTGCCACCTGCGGCGGGAAAGGGGGCCCGCCGCTGCCATGGAGGAAAGCACCAGCTCCCCCCAACCCCTCTCAGTCCAGGGACCACTCTGCCTGCGGCAGCTAGCCCTTATCTCCCTGCCACCGGAGAGGCAGGTAAGTTTGGGTGTGTGCGCGACACGGGGGCTTAAAGGGCTCTAAATTGAAGCTGTGTTTTCAAAAACCCACCACTTCAATTTAGGGCCCCTGTTTTGTCTACATATGCCCATAGAAATCATCCTTTAATTGGGCTGCTGTACCAATTAAAGGAAAGGAGAATCTTTGATCAAGTTTCTTCCTAGCCAGCAATAGGTAATTCAATTTCTGTTGTTGTCTACTTTGTAGCTATGGAACATTATTCTCAGAAGTCTATTCCCTTTCAGTCCAGAAGGCAAATGACCCTAACATTAGACTTCTGAGTTCCAGACAGGAGCAGTGAAAAATTAAATATTACTGTTGCAAGTATATACACTGTTGCAAGTATATAAGTAATCTGTCCACACATTCACACAGGATCACCTTCGCTGAAAGTAATGCATACTGTCAACATATTTCTTATTTGATTTTGTTGCGGGCCACTTTGTATGGGGAGATCAATATGGTATTTTAATTGACTAGCAAATGAATACAGGCTAGAATAAAATGGTGATTCAAAGCTTGACTAATTATCAAAGTTCAGCTTGTAACTGAAGAAAAAAAATATACCTATTTTACTCACCCTTGGACCTCTCTTCCCTGATGGCCCAGGTAAACCTGGAGGACCTGGAAGACCCTGGAGAAACAAACATCAAATAGTTAAGGCTAACATCAAACTAATCACTGTGCTGCAGATCAAACTCTGACTAGTTCTCCCAAAGACATTCAGCTTCTGATTACCGATTGGAGACACCTGCTCATCTTGGAAACAAGCTCCCAAACTAAAGCTATAATGTGTGTTTATAAACCTGCCTCCAAATTGGAGATGTACGGTTAAAATTACTTCATGCACAGGGATTGTAATTCCCAGTTTAGTGGGCACCTTTTGCTTAAAATGATTACTGGAAGAACACTTTTCAAGGTTTATAATCAAGGAAGTGCAATGTATTTCAAAACACAGCATAAAAATTAACTTAAGTCAAAAACATAGCTTACTAATTTTTACTTCCCAAACACTGCATTTATCATTTTAGGCAATTCGAAGAGTTGTACTGAAATAAACTAAAACACAAATCATACAAAAGGAAGATACGAAGTCAAAGAAATATGACAAGCATGGCTGAAAGTTTGTTTGATGATCCTGATCTTTTATATTCATTCTTTTAAACTGATATCACTCCCTTTAAAGAAAAAACTCTTTTTGATTTTCACAAGTAAATTCATACATACTCTGGCAGTATGAGAAATAAACTTTGCAATTTCATGCGACTGTTAATGATTGCATCAATATGAGATGTAGCAGCAACCTCGCTCTAGTTAAGAGCTTTATCCCTAGAAAAATCTCTTCCTTTCTTATTACATTGTCTGTTAACTTTTGAGGCCCTTGAGGATGTTACATCTGTACTGGAACGAATGTAAAAAAAACGAGTCTAGATCCCATGCTGGCTTAGTACAATGGCATGGGGTTTGATGTATCTCCTATGAGGTTGCCTAAGGTATTATTCAGCCATTACTTTTCAAGGGCAAATTTCAACTGTACAATCCATGCAGGTGCAGGAAACCCTGGTTGTAAAAGAATCAATACACTTCCACTGCAGAACAGACTAGTGGCAAAATGGTAGGATCTAATGAAGGTAGACACAGAATGGTCTGAGGAAAGGATTTTATTACTGTCTTCTGCATCACGTCTCAATTTCACCCCTGCACAGAACACAGCTACTCAGGCTGTGCACTAGATAAAATGCTTAAATAGCCCTTGAAATTGCTTGATGTTGTTCAAAATGATTAAAAATCTATCGAAGCCAAGGAAATTATTACTGTTGTAGCTGAAATAGCAATAAATAAACAGTGCAGGAAATGAAAAATTGTACTACTCCACAGTTTTTATTAGCACTTAGTGAATGATTTTATTAATATTAAATTCTTAGGCAAAATTACTATCACCACCCTTAGAATAGTAAATTCACTGGTGCAGAAGCCAATTCTGTTTATGCACATTATGCAATGTCAAACCAATTGCCTTTCCTTGGACAGAACAAAACACTGGACAATTCTGGGGAAAAAATATTATGAGCCTTTATTTTTTAAGGAGGATAACTGTCCTCTACAACTACCATAGTTATCTTTAAAAGATCCAAAACTATTCCTTTTTCTTTTTTTCTTTAAGTCTTTTTATTTTTTGGACACAATTAACACAGAAAAGGCTTTCAATGTCACTGTTCTATACTTGAAACTGTGTTTCAAGAACAATGACAACTGGACTGTAAATCAGCTATTGGATCAGTATCAACCAATATGGCTGGTTAATAATCGGCCATTGGTATCGGCCAAGGAAATCTTTATCAGTGCACCCCTAGTAATAATGTTTGGGAGACACCAGTGACTTCAACAAGACTGTGCATGAGCATGACAGTCTGCCCAAATGCATCCAGGTATGGGATTGGGATTGTAGCTAGAGTGCTTCCGAATGTCCTGTCAGGAGCATCAGTAAGTCAAACTGCAGCACATCTGCAAGTACTGTGTTTCTCATGTTAGTCCCTGCTGGAGAAAGAATGGCATCCTGGTGTTTTTAGGTTGGTGGGGAGAGGTGGCTACTATCAGGCTCTAAATAAAATGTCTTCCTGTAGCAAAATCCAAATGTACATACCATTCTTAAGTACCAGGTTACTGTTATTCTAAAACAAACGCTGGCCTCTAATTTCAAAGGAAAAAAAAAGTTTAGGTTCCAGTTCTTTGAGGAACTCAGCACTCTTTGCTATCACTATACCACTGACTATTATTATAACGTTCTGTTATGGTATTTGTCTCAGATAAAAGTAGAGATGAATTGCATTTCCTTATCCCACACTTTGGAAGCCATTTTACTGGTAGCAGCAAGGAGAGTGCTGCTTCCCAGAATGCATGGTAATAGGCATTTAAGAATCTACAGCTGAAAACAAGATACAACTGGGTGCATGTTAATGTGAAGCAATAAACTGTGGAGCAGGTCACACCAGAAGAAACTGCTCCCAGGTGCAGCATTTACACGGACGCCTAGGACAGCAG